GTAGGATTCTTAATAAACATAACACGGGTTCCAACCTTCCATACATACCAGTTTTCCTTCACTTCCTTCCCCTCTCCTTCCTTCCGTGTGCTCCTTCCTCCCTCTCAACCACTCACTTCCCTCTCTCCTCCACTCCTCTTTCCCTCCCTCCATCCCTGTCTCCTCTGTAGTGGCGATGCTGTCTCAAGGTAGACTAGGGAGTAAGGTCGAGCAAATCCAGTGTCAGTACTGCTAGAACTTCTTTCCAGAGCTTTATTTTCATCTCTCCCTTCTGCATTCCAAAGGCAGAGCAGAGATTTCCTTGTGAGAGGGAAGGATTTCCACGGGCCATTGGATGGTATTTTCATCCTTCCTACTGGTAAAACGGCATCAGGGGTCCCCATCTGTTCAAGATGGGAAACTTGATAGTATGGCGATGAGGACACAGGTAGCCAGGCAGTAGGAAGTAGCCTTTGCCAACCTCTGGCGCAGGCTGGCGCTCTGGCTCCAGGAGGGAAGGAAAGTCGGCCACCTGGTGGACCCAGACCGGTTCCCCGTGGGCCAGATACAGAGCGCGGGAAACTGGGTACACAGAAGGGTAGATGCTGGTGAAGGAGCAGTTGTCCTGTGCTGCAGTTACACGGTCCTGGGGTGAGAAAAAGCCAGGCGTTCCCAGGTCTTTGGCGGTCATGTGGAGTCTTTTGAGAGCGGGGAATCCATTTTCTAGCTTGGGCTTAGAGCTGAGAACGGGCCGATAAAACTCTTTGGCCCGGAGTTGGATGTCCAGCTTTGCTTGCTGTGGAAACAAATCACAAAGAAATGAAGGACAGAGGTAATTGGAAGGAAAAGCTTCCCAGGAAGTACTGAAGATAGAATTAACTGGGAGGTACCCAAAACCTTTTACTTTTTAAAAAGATTTAAATGAGGGCCCTCCTTGGTGGCTCAAGGGATTAAAGCACAACTTTGAAGCTGTCCACAGCCACTGCAGCAGTTTGATCCCCGGCCCTGGAGGTGACCCACTTGGCACAGCAGACCTCTCCTGACCCGCCCACTGCTCCCCTCAGCAGTGTATTTCATCAATTGGCCTGTTCTGCTCCCTGCTCTGACTCTGGTGAATCTTCTCACCACCCCTGCACCTCTGGCCTGTACCCCAGCTCTGTATGAATAAATAAATCTTTAAAAAAAAAAAAGTGAAAAGTTACCCAACCTCATGGATATCCAATGAAATTAAAGTCATGATCTGAAGCAAATGTGATTTCAAATCCCTAAAATTGGCAAAAAATTTCAAAACCTGACAATGTGAAGTAACAGCCAGAATGGAGAGCTGCAGGAGGTGACTCTATGCTGCTGAGAAAGTCAGTGGAAACTTCTACTTTGGGTAACAGTGATGTTACCCATGATGAGCAAACCCACTGCTAGAGGGCTGAGCTCTGGAACAGTTAGCTGTGCCCCATTTCATTCGACATTTAGAGGCAGGAGAAACAAAAATGGGAAATGATCCAAGCCCCAAGACCCACTGACAGAAGAGACGGATGCATTAGGCCATGTTCATGCAATGTAATACTAAGCAGCAGAGAATGAATGTGCTGTATTGTTCAACCAAAAATGAAAATCATCAATATGGAATAAAGTTGGAAAAAAGCAAGCCAGAATAATTTATTTAGAGGGAACCACACATATAGGGTAAAATGATTAAAAAACAAAACAAAAAAACAGAGGGAATGATTAAGCTCAAACTCAGAAGAGTGGCCCCCTCTGGAGGATGGGAGGGTCTCTAAGGTGCTGTCATGTAGTCTGTAGGCTGGTTTATATGGACTCTGATACTTGTCTATCAAGGTTATTTAAAACACAAATGTGTATTGTTTACACACAATGGATGCATGACCTGTTTGATGTGCACTTCAAAACATGTACACATTAAAAAAAAAAATCTTAGGTCTCCTGACACTGGATATTCCTTTGAACAATAAATATCCCCAATATTCACCCTTACAATAAAAATGAAAAAAATGTTGATTTTACTGAGTGATCGGACAAAAGACAATACTGGGAGTCCTCTTACCTCTTCTGGGGTAATCCTCAAGTATTTGTGCTTTCCATAGGGTTTGTAGTCAACCATGTAGGAGCTTTGGTATATGTCTAAATCCACAGGGGACTAAAGGACAAAGAACACAAAGTGAGAGTTTCTATCACTTAAAGACATCCACTGGCTTCTCATTGTCTGGGGACAAAGGCTAAATGTTGGGCCTGGCGTTAGAGCACTTTATGACCTGGTCTCTACTAGCCTTTACCAACCCACCCCCGTGGCCTCCTGGGTCCAGGCCCTTTGCACTCCAGCCTTACTTCACACATGCCTGGCACATGCTCTTACCCTCTCCCAGAAACGCTACTTGCCCTCCTCACCAACTGGCAGACTCCCACCTGCCCTTCAGAAACCCAGATCAAGTGTCATTTCCTCAAATATATCTCTCTCACCCTGTATTCTCCCCCTTCCAAAAACTACACTATTTTTCCTCTACTTTAGGGCACTTATCATGGAGTGTGATAATTGACTTAATGAAGACCTAGCTCAGACACTAATCTTAGGTATCTCTGTAGCTTCCATACTCAGCACAGTGCCTGGCACACTGAGGGTGTCTAGCAAATACATGATGAATAAGTCCAGAATGCCCAGAATTATAAACCCCTAATTTTCCTCTGCCTGTTTCCAAAAAACCATCAATCCAGAATGGTGAGCAGAGGAAGTTCTGAAGAGCCAAATCCTCACCTGTGGTTAAAGCTGCCTGGCCCTGTAGACAGAAAGTCACAACACTCACCTGCTTGGGGTACACAACACCAGCCATGGCAGCACACCTGGACACAGAAAAGTGGGTTAGCCTTGCTTCCTTCTGCCACAGATGAGGTAAACAGCCACTACCCCCAAATCTGTGCCAATGAAGCATACCTAGCTCAACCCCTTCCCTCACTGCACACTCATCATCCAGGGGTTGGCCAGAGCAGCAGCGACACATGGGCTGGTGGCCGGGGGCCTGGGATTAAGGGGTCAGAGCAAGGCTCAGAAGGAGCTAGAGCTGTTGCCAACATCAGATTTAAGGCTGCAGTGCAATAAATCTGATAGCAGAGGTGTTATCTGTCTGATAAAAGTGGGAGTGCTGAGCTAGGAAATGTTTAACAATCACCTTTTGGGGCAAATAAGGCCTGTTTTATTTGCCAATTTCTGTGGTGTAAATGTTCCCAGCACAGCCTCTTTCAAAATGTCAACAAAATGTCACTAATGCCAAGTTTGGAAGATGGGCTCAATGGACCCTAGGGGGGACCCCCGACTTACCCCTCTGACAGGCTCTGAACTGCCTTGAGGAAGCAGAGTTCCAACACCCCGATTTAGAAGCGCCAACCAGGATGTCTAGTGGAATTGGGGGTAGCCAGAGTGAAAAAAGCTGTGAGGCTCTGTGTTCCTAGAGGAACTCTAGCAGATTGTCAGCCTGCCCCTGCCCCGTGCTTTCCAGCTCGAAATACTAGCAGAGAGACCTTATTGCCTGGGGAACTGGGGAGTTCTCTGAGCTCACCCTATTCTGTGTGCGTGGACCCAAGTTCTTGAATGATTTCATTCATTTCTTGAGAAGCACGCCCAGAGACCCACCCCACTCAGCTGGCTATGGGCCAACAGGATAGTTGCCAGACCTCAGCTGACCCCGATGCCCCCTCCTCTTTGTGCACAGATGGCTGCTCTCCTGGGGCAGGGGTCAGGTTCAGTTTCAGCGCCAATTGCACCTACCCCTCTTTCTACCATGGGCGGATCATGCTGTGCTTCCAACTCCCGGTGTTCCAATGCGTGCAGTCTCGTGTGTGCCGCTGCCACACCCGACTTTGTGATGGGCCCTCACCTACATGGTGGAGGCTGGCTTGGTCACAGTCACTGTGGCTGTGTCATTGTGACTTGAAGCCCTGTGCCTGACTCACCCTCTCTCACAATGAAATGCTAGTGTCTTAACAGCCGTCTGAGTCAACATGAGCCCTGACAGCCTTGAGAGGCACCTAGAAGACATGGCTCTCCAGTACTCTACACAATCTACTTCCAGGAGAGGGAGGTAAACAAAACTCCACTTGCATTTTCATATCAATCTATACGTCACTGAATCCGTCTCATACCATAACCCCTCACGGCCTCTATGGCCTGAATGGCTGGCTTGTCCCTCCGCCACCAGTCAAAGTTTCTTCTGTTACACCCAATAGGATGGTTGTAGTCTAAAACCCAAAAAAGTAGGTGTTGTTGAGGAAGTGGGGAAATTGGAACACTTGCGCGTTGCTAGTGGGGATATAAAATGGCATAGCCGCAGTGAAAAACAGTTTGGTGTTCCTTAAAATGCTAAACCGATTCCCCTCAAAATCCTGCAATTCCATTTCTGAGTATACGCCCAAAAGGATTGAAAACAGGACACAGGCAGACACTTGCACACCTGTGCTCATGGCAGTACCGATCACAATGACCAAGGATGGCGATAACACAGTATCCATCAACAGATGAATGGACAAACCAATGTGATGTCTACATACGTGGAATATTGTTCAGCCTTGGAAGGAAATTCTGACACATGCTACAACATGGATGGACATTGGAAATTTAAGGAAGTAAGCGAGACATTAAACATCAATATTATACAACTTCACCTGTGTGAGCTACCTAGAGTCACCAAATTTAATAGAGACAAGAAAGTAGTATGGTGGCTTCCAGAGTGGTGGGAGGAATGGAGAATTAGTGTTGAATGGGAACAAACTTTTAGTTTAGGAAGATGAAAAATTTCTAGAAATGGATGTGGTAATGATCATACAACATTGTAAATGTTCTTAATCCCATTAAATTCTATACTTAGAAATGGTTAAAATGGTGAATTTTATGTTATATGTTTACTACAATAAAATTAATTCCATTCTTTTTCAAGGGAGACCTCTTTAAAGCTCCCCATGTCTCTCATTAGATAGACTATAGATACCTTTGGGTATACAATATTTACCCAACCAACACTGGCAGAACTTTTGTGTTGGGCACTGTTTTGAACTTGCAGACTGAACAATGAATAAAAGAGATGCAAAGCTCTGTTTGGAGAGAGTTCACAGTCTAAGGAGAGAAAACACAGAGTAAACCAAGTAATAAGTAATTCAGATGCAATTCAACCTAGCAAATAAACAAGAGGTGTTTGAGAGACAACCTAGTTGGGGTCTGAGAAGGCCTCTCTGAGAGGGTGGTATTAGAGCAGAGATCTGAAATGTGAGGAAACCAGCCCGTGAAGATCTGGAGGAGGGGATTCCCAGCATGGGATAAGCAAGTGCAAAGTCAGTAAGCCAGGAACAACCTAGAGCAAGGAGCCCTAGGGAAAGAAATGGGTGAGGACAAGAAACCAAAAGACAGAGTATACTGTGAACCTCAGACTTGCCCTGCTTTCTGTAATGACATGCCAACTCCTCTTTAGAGGACTGGTCTCTCTAAATTAGGGGGTTTATATAGCTTGGGTAGTGTGAACCATACTTGAGCACTAAATGGATATGTTGGTCCCAGAAAATGCCATCCTCTGGGATTGATTCAGGGAGAGGCTCCAGATGCAAGCTGGGCTGAGGACCCGCTCTGAGGATAGAGGCCTAGCAGGCATTGAGAAGCCACGAGCCTGGAGCAGCCTGAGACCATGTTTACCACTGGTGAAGTATAAAATCAACAATTTCCAAATTATATACCTGACAAGGGATTAATAGCCAAAATATATAAAAACTCATCAAACGAGACAACACAAAATAAGCAACTGATTTAAAAAAATGGAAAAAGGGCCCTCCCTGGTGGCTCAGCGGGTTAAAGCACAGCACTGAGAATCTAAAGCCGCTTCCGCATGAGTTCGATTCCCGCCTGCCCGGGAGGTGACCACATGGCGTGGCAGACCTCTCCTGACCCGCCCACTGCTCCCCTCAGCAGTGTACTTCAACGATCTGTCTGTTCTGCTTCCCGTTCTGCCTCTGATGAATCCTCTCACCCTCCACATCTCTGGCCTGTACCCAGTTCTGTACGAATAAATAAATAAATCTTTAAAAAAAAAAAAAAACAAAAACGGAAAAAGTATCTAAATAGACACTTCACCAGAAAAGATGCTCAGATGGCCAACAGACTCCTGACATGTTCATTAGCATTTATCATTAAGGAAATACAAGTCAAAATCACAATGAAATGTAACTTCTTCCTGAAACAGAGCAATCCAGGGGAACGGGGCTGACCTGGTTGGTGGGTCTTACCAGCATGCTTAAGAACATAGGACACGACCCAAAAGCAGACACATCGTAAGAAACAACAATTACAAATTTTATCTATACAGGGAGTGAGGCAAGGGGGAGAGAGATAATTTCCAGGCGAGGGCTACTTCAGATGGCACCTGCTGAGCAGAGACTGAGGTGCGCCCTGAAACCGAAATGGTATGCAAACCGCCAGCTTCTGCACAGACAGCCCTCCTCATCAGTGCTGCAACTGCCAACCCCCAGCAGCTTAACTACCCCAAAGCCCCAGCGGCTTATTTGCTTGAAAGCCTCAGTTTGACCTCTTTCTCCATCACCCAACCTCCCCGCCTCCCTGCTTGGGTGAAGTGTGAAAAGCTCCACCTTCTACTGAGTTGGAGTTGGCTGTGAGTACTGCCAGCTGGCTCAGAGATGCTCTTTGTTGTTCCTCTTAAAATTTCACTTAAAATGACTCTTACAGGGGGCCCTCCCTGGTGGCGCAGCGGGTTAAAGCACAGCACTGAGAATCTAAAGCCGCTTCCGCATGAGTTCGATTCCCACCTGCCCAGGAGGTGACCACATGGCGTGGCAGACCTCTCCTGACCCGCCTGCTGCTCCCCTCAGCAGTGTACTTTGTTGATCTGCCTGTTCTGTTCCCCACTCTGTCTCTGGTGAAGCCTCTCACCGCCCCTGAGCCTCTGGACTGCAGCCCAGTTCTATATGCACAAATAAATAAATCTTTAAAAAAAAAAAAACATGACTCTTACAGGGCCCTCCCTGGTGGTGCAGCAGGTTAAAGCACAGCACTGAGAAGTTAACACCACTTCCTCATAAGTTCTATCCCCGCCTGCCCTGGAGGTGACCCACATGGCGTGGCAGTCCTCTCCTGACCGCCTGCTGCTCCCCTTGGCAGTGTGCTTCATTGATCTGCCTGTTCTGCTCCCCACTCTGTCTCTGGTGAATCCTCTCGCGGCCCCTGCACCTCTGGCCTGTACCACAGTTCTGTATGCACAAATAAATAAAACTTTCTAAAAAAAAATGACTCTTATCAAATAGACAAGAAACAGCAGCGGGTGGGTCAAGTGTTGGTGAGGATGTAGGAAAAAGGGGAACCCTTGTGCAGTCAGTGGTACTGCCTACTGGTATAGAGCACTACGGAAAACCATACAGCATGAGCACAAAAATTAAAATTAGAAATATATGACCCAGTGATTCCACTTCTTGATATTTATCTGAAGAATACAAAACATTAATTAAAAAAGATGTCTACACACTTATGTTCATTGCGAAATCAAGATGTGGAAACAACCTAAGTGTTCACCTATGGATGCATGGATAATGAAGACGTGAAATACACACCTGCGTGGGCACACACGTCACTTGCTACTACATGGATAAAGAAGATATAATACATGTGATACGTGTGTATGTGTGAGGCACAAACACATATGTACATGCATACACCATGGGTGACTACTCATTTATTTTAAAAAGATGAAATCTTGTTCATTTGCCAAAACCTCAGCTCCATCCCTTTTCCCCATCAACAGCCCTCCCCACTCATTCAGGGCATAGTCTACCTTGAGGACACTGG